TTTTTTTTTTTTTTTTTTTTTTAGCTGTATCAGTTATGATTTCTTGAGTCATAGTAGCTTTTAATATAATACTGAACGGTTGAAGAGAGCGAATGAAGGACTTAAGTGAGAAATGCTGTTCCGGCAAAAGTTTTGGTAGTAAGCTACTGTTTTGATTCCCAAACAGCGCTCAAAAAACCAGCTGTTCATTTTTCAAACTGAGAAATTACGGAAGAAATGACACAATTTAAATAATGGAGTGCAAACTTGATTTTATGAGATCTTTAAATTTTGCACTCAGCTTTGTAGAGGGTAAAGCTGGAAATGCAGCGTGTCAAAAGAGAACTTTTAACAGCATATTGTTGAAAAATAAATTTTTTGCTGTACGTCTCAACAGCAAACTCTCGCCTTCAATCTGGTTCTGTGCAGAAAATGTTGCATTCAGCACTGCCTGTATAAGAAATCAGAGGCAGAAAAGCAAGGAAAATTTGGTAAAGGCTATATGAATCATTGGAACAAAAAAAAGCCAAAGATGACTAGTTAAAAGTATTTTCTTTTACAAATTCCTCCTCCGACGAGGCCGCCGTAAAGGCAGCTGATTTCTCCCAGTATATGTAATTCACAACAACCTAACCTTACTTTACTATTAAAATGAGCTACCATCTTCTGGGCTATAGTGAAAGGAGCGTCAAGGAGCTCTCCTGATACCAACTAAGCACATCTCAAATCGCAGTGATTTCTCCTTTAAAACAAACAGGGCCTTCAATTATTCGTCCAAAAAACTCAAAACTTTTGCAGGAGGAGCCGCTCAAAGCAAGAGAGCTTTAAAAATCATTTCACAACTTTTAAAAGACGCGCAAAGATAAAACAGTATATTAATCCAACTGACAACAAAATCCAAATACCTTTTAATTCCAGTGAAGAGCAAGAAGTTACGAAGTTTTACAGGCTGAAATCTGATAAACATTCCAGTCAACTTTGAGTGAAAGAAGACACACTCCAAAAAAATAATACAACAGGTTATGTCCTTGTTAGCATTAACCTCGAGCTCATCAAGCGTTTCTGGCTTAACTAGCACTTCCCCGCATCAAAAAAGCCAGTAACTGAACTTGTTCTGTAATGTTTTGTTAGAAAACAAGCTAGCAAGAACTATATTCAGTACCTTCCAAGAAACGTCTTTACTCAAACCACGCGCTGCCAACAACGCCCGCAGCAGAACCGGACTGAAGACACAGGAACCCTGACTTTGAGCGACCCAGACACTTTTGAGCACGACTAGCGACTGTTCTGTCAAGCGAAAAG